AGTACAAATGGTAATGTGGGATCCGAGCGGGTCGTGGTGTTCTTTTGTATATTTTGTAAGGATTGCTTCTAGCTCTAGCCTTGGCTATCTTGCAATTGCTATATAACATGTTAGCTATAGCCCTCTTCCTTCTATTAATAGCAGCTATTTAGGCAGCAGTTTTGCAAATAAGGAGGGTATAATATCCTAATTTTAACCAAGCTAGCAACAGGCTTACGCTTAGTAGCTCGTAATAATAAGGCTACTTAACTACTTACACGACCTAGCTAGACAACTAAGTTGTCTGCAAAGGATTTAATCCTGCGCACTGTATAATTGTAATACACTAGCTAATAACTCTAACTTTAATAGGGCTACTAACGCTAATCTAGTAAGGTTCTAGGCTAAAGGCCTATTTGTATCTAACTAGTATAGGCGGAAATTACCCTGTTCTAGCATAGATTCTAACTTAGAGGCGTTTAGCTATAATCTAGTAGATAGTAGCTTCGCGGCAATGCCTAGTTAGATAGCCGCAAAAACTAATTATCTAAAACTGCAGTTCCTCTCGTACTAAGCGGTATTACTATTAGGGCAAGGTTATTAGTAGGGTAAAACTAACCTGTCTTACAATAGTCTAAACCTAGCTTACGTTCCCTATTAGTAGGTAAACAATCTAACGCTTACTAAATTCTGCTTTAGTATAATAGGAAGAGCTAATATTAAAGGATTAAAAAGCAACGTTGCTATAAACGCTTAGCTGCCACAAGCTAGTTATCCCTGTAGTAACTTTTCTAGCACCTCTAGCCTTAAATTTTAAGGGACTAAAGGATTAATAGGCCACACTTTTATAGTTTGTATTCACACTAAAAATTAAAATTAAGGGGACTTTTGCCCTTTTACTCTACTAGAGATTTCTATTCTCTATAAGTCCCCCTTAGGACACCTGCGTTATAGTTTAATAGATGTGCTGCCCTAGCTAAACTCCCTACCTAACAATATCTTTAACCTAGATTAGCCTACAAAGGACCTTAAACGCTAGAAGTTAGGTAGTAAGGCCTAGCTCCGCTTTATTAAATAAGTAAAAAAATAATAAGGGTAGTAGTATTTTACTAGCGCTAAAGCTCCTACCTATTCTACACCCCCTATATCTTTTTATAATATTAAACTAGAGTTAAGCTTAATAGGGTCTTCTTTCCCCGCTAATTTAGCCAAGCCTGTTCCCTTAGCTATAGTTTCGCTAGATAGTAGATAGGGATAGTAGGAATCTTGTTAATCTATTTATACGCGTTACTAATTAGATAACGAGGTATTTAGCTACCTTAAGAGAGTTATAGTTACTCCTACCGTTTACCTGCGCTTAGTTAAATCTCTTCGCTTTAATATTTAGAGCACTAGGCAGAAATTATATTATATTAACACTACTTTCTAGCTATTATAATGCTATATTTTAATTAGATAGTTAGATTCCCCTTATCTATACTAGTTCTAAGTTAGTTGTTAAACGTACGCTAGACAGCCAAAACCTGCCAAGGGTGTCTGCACCCTAGCGCTAAGAGGCGCCTACCTTGCGGTTAGTGCCCTTCTACGCTAGAGGCTTCTCCCTAAGGCCCAACGTACCTAACCCTTAGAGCTAATCCTTTTCCTAAAGTTATAGATCTATTTTGCTAACTTCCCTTATCTATATTATTCTATTAACTAGAGGCTTTTTACCTTAGAGACCTACTATAGTTATAAGTACAACCTAGCGTAAAAACTATTTCTTTAAGTAGATTTTTAAGGCTTATTAGGAGCGCACTAAATACTATAAAAGTGTAGCGCTCTTCTAGCTATTAAACCCTAGCTCTAGATAAACTAATTTTAGGGTAATAGACTGTTAAGAAGAAAAGAGAACTCTTCTTAGGGCTCCTACTAAGGTCTCCGCTCTTAGTTGCGTTGCTGCAGAGAATCTATATCTAGGTGCTAGAATATTAACTAGCTTCCCTTTTAAGGGTATGGCGCAAGCACTAATATTAAAATAGAATTACCCTATCTCTTAGGATTAACTAACCTATGTCTAACTGCTATTTATATAGAACCTTTCCCTACTTTAGTCCTTAAAGTTCTTATTTAAGTATTTGCTACTACTACTAAGATCTGCACTAGAGGCCATTCTACCTAGGGTTACCCCTAAGGCTTTGTCACGAGCCTCTACGCCTGCCTACTTGCTAGGGCTTAAATCTTGCCCTAGCAGCAGGGTATAGGTAACACGCTTAAGCGCTATCTATTTTTAGGGCTAGTTTATTTAGCAGGTAAGTTATTATACACTCCTTAGCAGATTCTAACTTCTATAGCTACTATCCTACTATCTAGATAAACTAACACCTTTTGTAGTATCTAATAAGCGTGTATTCTAGCACCTTAACCCTACGTTTAGTTTATCCTATATTGCTAGTTCTGCTTACTAAAAATAGCCTACTAGTAATAGTATATTTAAGTGTCCACGTTTAATTAAGTAATAAGGACTTCTTACATATTTAAAGTTTAAGAATAGGTGAAGGTTGTTTTAACCCCTAGGCCTCTAATTATTCGCTTTACCTTATAAAACTAAATACGTTACTGCTATCCTAAGGGAAACTTTAGTAGGAACTAGCTACTAGATAGTTTAATTAGTCTTTCGCCCCTATACCTAAATTTAATAATTAATTTGCACGTTAGAACTACTGCGAGCCTCTACTAGAGTTTCCTCTAGCTTTACCCTATTTAAGCATAGTTCACTATCTTTTAGGTCCTAATAGCTATACTCTTACTTAAATCCTTCCAAAGATATTAGGATTAGTTAATAGTGCACCCTAAAAGGGTTCCTACCTCTATTTACTTTTATTACGCGTCTAGGCTTAACACCTAAATACTTGTATAGATGTTAGACTCCTTAGTCTATGTTTTAAGACAGGCCGCTTACAGCTATTACGCTAGCATCCTAGCAGATGCGCGGACCTTAGTCTAGGCTAGTTGCATGTTGTCTCCCCTATAAGGCCTCCCTAAAGGGAGGTACGTAATAGAGACCTTTATCTAACTGCCTAAACTAATACTAGCCTGCCTATAGAAGAGTGCACTAGATAAAAGCCTAGATAAGTAACTACAGGCAAGTCTAGCTGCAAGCGCTTCCCTTTTAACAATTTCACGTGCTATTTAACTCTCTTTCTAAAGTGCTTTTTATCTTTTAATTACTCTACTTATGCGCTATTAGTCTCTAGCTAGTATTTAGCTTTAGAAGAAATTTACCTCCTATTTAGAGCTATATTCCTAAATAACTTAACTTGTTAAAGGGGCTTTACATAGCAAAGGCTAGCAACCACGTATAGGATTCTTACCCTCTATAACGTCCTATTCTAAGGAACTTAGACTACTACTAACGCTAAAGCGCCCTCTACAAATTACAACTTGGACCCTAAAAGAGCTAGATTTTAAATTTAAGCTGTTGCCGCTTCACTCGCTATTACTAGGGCAATCCCTGTTGGTTTCTTTTCCTCCGCTTATTGATATGCTTAAGTTCAGCGGGTATCCCTACCTGATCCGAGGTCAAGAGCTTAAAAAGTGTCTTGATGGATGCCAACAACCATGACAAGAGGCGCAAAATGTGCTGCGCTCCAGGCCAATGTGCCGGCTGCCAATTGTTTCAAGGCGAGTCCCAAGTGGAACAAACACCCAACACCAAGCAGAGCTTGAGGGTACAAATGACGCTCGAACAGGCATACCCTATAGAATACTAAGGGGCGCAATGTGCGTTCAAAGATTCGATGATTCACTGAATTCTGCAATTCACACTACTTATCGCATTTCGCTGCGTTCTTTATTAATGCTAGAACTAAGAGATCTGTTGTTAAAAGTTGTAATTTATTATATTATTACTAATGCTAACTGCAATTGCAAGTGGTTTTAGGGGATCTAATTAGTGGGTAAGCCTACTAAGGAAACAAATAGTACGCAAAAAATATGGGCAGAATTAAAGTAGACTGCCGCCACTAATTGAGGCGGCAGTGCTTTGAAAATAGGTAATAATCCTTCTGCAGGTTTACCTATGGAAACCTTATTACGACTTTTACTTCCTCTAAATAACTAAGTTTAACAAACTTTCTAGCTTAGGGTAGTTGTTGCTAACCTCCCTAAGCTAGTCTGAAGGCCTTACTAAGCTATTTAATTGGTAGTAGCGACGGGTGGTGTGTATAAAGGGCAGGGACGTAATTAACGCATGCTAATAACACGCGCTTACTAGGCATTCCTTGTTAAAGAGCAATAATTGTAATGCTCTATCCCTAGCACAACAGAGTTTAACAAGATTACCTAGACCTTTTGGTTAAGGTAAAGAACTTGTTAGCTCTGTTAGTATAGCGCGCGTGCGGCCTAGAATATCTAAGGGCATTACAGACCTGTTATTGCCTTAAACTTCTATTAGCTTAAGCTAATAGTCCCTCTAAGAAGCTGGCGACTAGCTAAAGCTAGCCTAGCTATTTAGCAGGTTAAGGTCTTGTTTGTTATCGCAATTAAGTAGACAAATTACTCTACTAACTAAGAATGGCCATGCACCACTACCTAAAAAATTAAGAAAGAGCTCTTAATCTGTTAATCCTTATTTTATCTAGACCTGGTAAGTTTCCCTATATTAAGTTAAATTAAGCCGCAGGCTCTACGCCTAGTGGTGCCCTTCTATTAATTTCTTTAAGTTTTAGCCTTGCGACCATACTCCCCCTAGAACCTAAAAACTTTAATTTCTTGTAAGGTGCTAAGCGAGTTAGAAAAAGAACATCACCTAATCCCTAGTTAGCATAGTTTACGGTTAAGACTACGACGGTATCTAATTGTCTTTAATCCCCTAACTTTTGTTTACTAATTAATAAAAATATCCTTAGCAAATACTTTCGCAGTAGTTAGTCTTTAATAAATCTAAGAATTTCACCTCTAATAATTAAATACTAATGCCCCTAACTGTCCCTATTAATTATTACAGTGGTCCTAGAAACTAACAAAATAGGACCGCACGTCCTATTCTATTATTCTATGCTAACGTATTTAAGCAAAGGCCTGCTTTAAACACTCTAATTTTTTCAAAGTAAAAGTCCTAGTCCCTAACACGCCTAGTAAAGGGTATAAGGTTCTCTAGAAGGAAGGCCTAGCTGGACAAGTACACGCGGTAAGGCGGACCTGCTAGCTAGACCTAAGTTTTAACTACGAGCTTTTTAACTGCAACAACTTTAATATACGCTATTAGAGCTGGAATTACTATAGCTGCTAGCACTAGACTTGCCCTCTAATTGTTCCTTGTTAAGAGGTTTAAATTATACTTATTCTAATTATAAGACCTAAAAGAGCCCTATATTAGTATTTATTGTTACTACCTCCCTATGTTAGGATTAGGTAATTTACGCGCCTGCTGCCTTCCTTAGATGTGGTAGCTATTTCTTAGGCTCCCTCTCTAGAATTAAACCCTAATTCCCTGTTACCTATTAAAACTATAGTAAGCTAATACCTTACTATTAAAAGTTAATAGGGCAGAAATTTAAATAAACTATCGCTAGCGTAAGGCTATGCAATCCGTAAAGTTATTATAAATTACTAAGAAGCCCTAAAGGGCGTTAGTTTTTTATCTAATAAATACACCCCTTCTAAAGTTAGGGTTTTTAGCATGTATTAGCTCTAGAATTACTACAGTTATCTAAGTAGTAAGGTACTATTAAATAAACGATAACTAATTTAATAAGCTATTCGCAGTTTTATAGTATAATTGCTTATACTTAGATATGCATAGCTTAATCTTTAAGACAAGTATATAACTACTAGCAGAATTAACTAGGTAACAATCCTAATACCTAATACGCTAAAGCGCATAAGCACTACCCCTAAAAGGAGGCAGAAAGTACGTGATAAGAAATCGCAGAAGCAATTCTAGCTACTAGCATAATAGCACACAAGGCACTAGTTACAACTAGCAACTAATTTAATTGCCCCTACTAAGTTTCTTAAGGAATAGTCTGTAACAAAGCCTAATAGGTGTTTCTGCGTATTTAAACTCGCCATATATATGCCTTAAGTGGAGAAAACCCACGCTTTGCCACGCTCACTAGGAGCAGATGCTAGGCAGGGCTGTCCCCCAAGATCTGTTGAATAGTTTGGCAGTGCCAGCCATCCACAGACCCCAAATTTTGCCCACTGCTAAAACTTTAACAGTAGGACTTCAGGTGCCAACCACAAAACTAGGCGCAACAGCAGGGTTGCTTCAGCATATAGGCCTAGGCCTGCCTAGTCAAGTAGAAGAGTAATCTCTAAGCCCCTAATTACCTACTAATTAGAGCGAATCTAAACTAG